TATATACTTGTTATACTCATAAACGAGTAAATAATAAAACCTCAGAAAATTTCCCTCTAAGATTACTAACCACTTAATTGGCCTTTTTTTGAAACCTTCTGGGTTCTGGATCTATCTCTATATATCTTCCTTTTTTAAATCCTTTGTTAGTGAGGAAAATTATCATAAACATAATATATTCAAATATCCATCATGTATCTCATATATTTTCATATATGTTCATGTATCTCTCAATAATATTCCTTAGAATATTTAAATCCGATAAGTTTTTTTTTTTTTTTTTTTTTAATTCCTAGTTCACTAATGTTGTCTTTCCCATCTTTTATAAGGTATGGAGTTAAACTGTTCAGTATAATTCCTGCTAAAGTATTTGAAGGATAAAACAAAATGCTTTAAATAATCATACATTTATTCAAAAAGTTATTTACAAAGTTAAGTGAAGAAACATACAAAGTTTGCTTCTTTGAAAAAAAAAAAGTTCTAGAATTTTCCCTATGTATTGGACCTTTCTCTACCAACGCAATATTGTCCGTAACCTTTTAGAGGATTTTCCCAAATTAATTTTGTAATTAATTTGAGCCCAACTCTCCGTATGCACTACTTATGGTGATGTCTCAACACCTAGTTAAATAAAAGCGTTTCCATAACAAAATATGTAGTGAACAAACTGTTACAAAACGGTATGTGTGTTTATAAATATATATCTCTATATGTCAATCTATTACTCTGTCTATATATCTATCTATATCTCTCTCTATATATGTATGTGTGTGTGTGTGTATATTTATACATACATATATATTTAATATATATATATAATATATATAATATATATAATATATATAATATATATAACATATATAACATATATAACATATATAATATATACAATATATATAATATATATAATATATATAATATATATATAATACATATAATATATATGATATACATATATATATATATATATATATATATATATATATATATATATATATATATATATATATATATATATATGTATATATATACACATATATATATATATATATATATATATATATATATATATATATATATATATATATATATATATATATATATATATATATATATATATAATTCTCTTTAATTAACAATTGTAGTTCCAAGACAAAGAAAATAGTTTAGTTACTCATATATTTTGACAAGATCATACTAAGAGAAAATGGTTTCTCTGTAGGATAAACGTTTGAAAGCTGAACTGAATGCTATTATTTGAATAAAATATTTGAATGGTTTTTAATACTTGAATACTTAGATATTAATGTTCTAATACTTAAATATTAGTACTTGAATGCTTAAATATTTGAATACAGTAAGGCCGAGCTTGTATTTAGTGACAAGTTTATGGTCTGTAAAGAAATGTGAATAATATTAAACATAAAATCCATATAGTTTCATTTGTATACTTATATACTTGTTATACTCATAAACGAGTAAATAATAAAACTTCAGAAAATTTCCCTCTAAGATTACTAACCACTTAATTGGCATTTTTCTGAAACCTTCTGGATTCTGGATCTATATCTCTATATATCTTCCTTTTTTAAATCTTTGGAGAAAATTATCATAAACATAATATATAATATATATATATATAATATATATATATATATAGATATATATATATATAATATATATATATAATTCTCTTTAATTAACAATTGTAGTTCCAAGACAAAGAAAATAGTTTAGTTACTCATATATTTTGACAAGATCATACTAAGAGAAAATGGTTTCTCTGTAGGATAAACGTTTGAAAGCTGAACTGAATGCTATTATTTGAATAAAATATTTGAATGGTTTTTAATACTTGAATACTTAGATATTAATGTTCTAATACTTAAAATTAATTAAAAAGGTAAACTACAAACCAAGTAAACCCTGGTGGAATGGACTGTGTGATGAAATAATAACAGAGAAAAGTAAAGCATACTATAAATGGGGGAAAAGACACATCAAAGCAAACTGACAAATACAATAAATCAATAGCTAAAGGCAGACTGGTTAAGTGAAAGAGACACAAGACAGCTTTTAGGCTTCCATAATACTGAAATCCATTAAAAGAAAAAAAATAGAAATTTATAATAAAACCAACAATAAAACATCTACTAATTACCCTCTAATAAGGAAAAACTTCCTAGTAATAGATATGTCAGGATATTTAGCAATATTTACAAAATATCAAATAACAAAAAGAAAGAGAATTTGACTAACAAAGACAGAGAAAGGAGAGTTGCTAACCAGCCCAAATATGTGCTTCACACTAAAAGGATTTAAATCAATCATAAAAGAATTTAAATCAGATAAAAAAAAAAATCTAAAAAAAAAGCATATGGTCCAGATATCATCACTATTGCATTTTACAAAAATGCACCAAATAACAGAGTGACTGGACACTGATCCCAAGAAGGTGGAGATAACTGCCAATTTCCATTGGGCATGTCAGATTCATGGTTATAATAAAATAATTAAGTTTATTCTTGATTTCTCAAATATAAATGAATCAATGAGGAAATTGCTTGGGAAAGAAGTAGTACTTCACTGGAATGAAAAACAAGCTCAATGCATTGAAAGCCTCAAAGAATTGGTTAAGAAAACTCCTATTCTAAGTTCTGTAATCTACAATTCCCACTAGTTTTTCAGTGGATTTTGCCATTTGTACCTAACTTTTGCACTGATAAACCTATGGCTTGTGCTTCAACATCCTTCACAAATTAATACAATGATGAAAGAGCGGTTAGCTACTGCTTTTGAGGTAATAAGTAATAATTCTTATTTGTATGGAAACTCTAATATCTGTTAAATCAGTTCATAAACCACTATAAAGAATTTTCAAAAAGCCCATCTTTGTTGATCTCCCCAGGTTACAGAGAATTCTCCTAAGACTTCAAGAGTATTCTCGTGATGTTCAATATAATTGCACATTGTTGATGCTCTGGAAAAAAATAGTTCAAAAGACAGGATATTTCTGATACTGTTCTAGTAAACAGGTAGTATCTACTACTTGAACTGGTCTATATCTCTTTGTGGAGTGAATTGAGTGGGTGTGAGTTCCCACTGTCATGCCTGGTTTCTCTAGGTGATGTGGAGGTCTATTGGGGAGCCAGAAAGGCTCCCCAGTTGGTAAAGGACTTGGCAGTCTTGTGTTGCTGCTGCTAGGTTGAGGTGCAGCTGGAGGATCATAGGCTGATGATCTTGGTTCTGTATCCTACGACTTAAGTACACAGAAGCTGTGTAAGTAAACAAGGAATGAGGGGAGTCTGCTGTCTAATCAAAGAGCCAAGAGGTGTCTGTGTCAACCATTTAGGTCTCAGCAATGAGTCACAAGAAGCACCTTCCGGTGAGAAAGCAAGGACAAGATTGTGTACCTAGCATGGACCCAACCTGGGAAGTATGCAGAGCTGAGTTGTGCAGGTTGTGACTCATGCTTGCTACATGGTAAACGTAGACTCTACTGATGTTAAAGAGTGTAAAAATGAGCTTAAATTGGAGGGCTTGTCAAACTATAAAACTCAGTCTCCTATATCGATCCATATATATTAGAGAAACAATCAGCAATTTAAATGGAATGTCAATTATGATGTTGTTCTCAAGAATTTCCACAAGTCACATCAAGGTTTGGAAAAGACAGTGAGACTATCTAAGGGACAGAGATAAATGCAAAAATAATAATTCAGGTGATGTTTGTAGTACTTTTAGTAATCAACAAATAAGAGAACCTTAGATGCCCTGAGATGTTCCTCATTTACCCTAACAAAATATTGGTGCTTATATTTATGAGTTATGTAGCAAAGTGCATTTCCTCCTTGTAGATTATCATAGCAAGTATATAGCAAGTTTATGATATACTGTAAGACCCATACGGAAAAAATTGCATTAGATGCTGTGAACATTAAGTTCCTAGACGTGGTATTGCAGAATTAATCATTAGTGACAATGATTCTGTTTATATTATTATAACTATTATAATTTCTTAAATATTTCCATACCTTCAACAAATGTTGAATGGTTTTCTAAAGGCCTAAATTTCCCTTTCATTTCATGATTTCCAAAAGCAAGACTAGATTATTATCATATAAAATTTCTCTTTAAGTTTACACATACTAAAAAAATGCTTGATTTTATAGGCAATTCTTCTTTATTCCTCTACTGAAAAACTATAATAGAGGTCTAGACTTAAGAATTTGCTCCTTTATGAATGATTACAATTTTAAAATCATAACCTTGTATTTGCACTTCAAATTGCATTAGCCCCATTGACTGGACAGATAGTAAAGGTTACCTTATATAAAGTGAAAACTTGGTTTTAATTACTTTGACTTTTTTTTTTTTTTTACTACATCCAATTAACCCATTCACGATGGGGAAAAATGAACAAAAAATGGGGAAAATGCTGTGCCCATTTTTTATATTTTTGGTGAAATGTCTCTACACATAGATAGCTCAGCTTTACCTGATTTCACCTTTACTTGAATTGGTGGGAAAATGTATTTTTACTAGTGCTATGAATATCGATGGTTATCTTTATTATAAACATTATAATTATTATAATGTTATAAACATTATAACAGCAAAATAAGATAAGGTAAAATATTTTCGTAAATTAAAGAAAAAGGGTAAACAGGCGAGAAAGGCAGTACAAGTGCAAGTGTAGCCATCTATGTGTAAAAACAATTAAACAAGTAAACTCATAGTGGGCATGTCACATATACGTGACACCCGGCGCGAATGGATTAAATATAAATCAGAGGAATTATCAAAAATATCTAGAAACACATTCTAAATTTGGATTTTCACAGATAACTGCTGAAAACTGAAAGGTATGGGAAAATGGCCATCCTTTCAGATTGAACTTCTGACACATATAAAAAAGGTGTGCGTGAAAAAGAATATCATCACTGCATAAGAAATGCTCTCTGTTAGTATTTCAGATGAAAATATATTTGAGACCAGTCATGTATATCTTTAATGATGTGAAGATATTCATTCCACTTGATATTTATTTCCTCTCAGATTACCAAGACTAACATTACCTATTATCAATCATAAGTACAAGTTTCTATGGCTATAAAAATATTTTATATATCTATAAATCCTTTTTATTATTAATAAATAACTCCCAGATATAGATTACCTGTATTCAGAATGGTTATCTCTTACTAACATGACTAAAATAATGCTACATGGAAGCTACAAACCCAATTACAGAGAATTTAAAAACCTCACTTCCTTCTTATAAATCTTTACATATCTTTATCAAATAGAAAAAAAAATCATACACAATACAAGAAGTTCCAAAATGTGTGAACGGCCATTTCCTGCTCCACGTTCTTTACACTGCCCGGACGCATTTCTCGAACCATTGCAATTGCCTTGGCAGGAGGCTGCTGGTGATATTTTACCAGGTAGCAGGCCAGAAGGGTGCCAGTTTGTCCAAGACCCATTCTACAGTACACATACATAGCCTGTGAAAAGATGAAAAAGATCATAAAAACTAGTTCATCTCCATACTTCCTTACCCAGTCCAGTTACATTAGCAAGTTCATCTGTCTATTTCCACATGCAACAAATTTACCTAATTCCTAAGCCAGTTTTAATGGTATCAGGCTTTCAGAAAGACAGGGGATCAGTTGCTCTGATTTGAAATGTGTGTGTGTGTGTGTGTGTGTGTGTGTATGTGTGTGTGTGTGTGTGTGTGTGTGTGTGTGTGTGTGTGTGTGTGTGTGTGTGTGTGTGTGTGTGTGTGTGTGTGTGTGTGCGTGTGTGCGTGTGTGCGTGTGTGCGTGTGTGCGTGTGCGTGTGTGCGTGTGTGCATGTGTGCGTATGCGTGTGCGTATGTGTGTGTGTGTGTATGCGTGTGCATGTGCGTGTGCGCGTGTGTGTGTGTGTGTGTACACTTGTACATATACATTCTTATGTAAGTATGTATGTACGTACATTTGTTTGTATGTACATATGGATGTATATACGTATATACGTTTATATCTGTGTATGTGTTAAATTTGTTGTACTATCAATTTTATGTCTATTTACCTTCAACTACATTCCATATTGATATGCATTAAATTTTGTTTATTTTCTCGAACTCTTATCCTAGCTCTTATACTTTGTATCATTTTTAATTCAATTATTACTTTTGAAGAATCAAATGGAGAGAACCAAGTCAGGATTTCAGGTTAACGTTGATCCAAAAGCAAGCTTTGTCCTTTTACGACAAACTTTTTACAACTGATTTTATAGATTCTATTTTTTATTTTCCCCCAGTTACTGGAAGCTATAAAAAAAAATTATAAATCTACTTCAAGATTGTATTGGAAGCTATAAAAAAGATTGATTGATTGTATTAAGGTTCTTAAAAATAAATAAACAAAAAAATCAATAACTTTCTTCAGTCATATAAGGGATTATAATAAATGGATTTCTCCAACTGTATATGTAAATGCCAGACCATACATATTAAAAATCTGTTTATTTAACTGTAAGTGGCCTCATTTAAACATTTTCTAAAGCCTAAGTAATGTATTTATTAAAGAGTCAACTACCTACCACTGTTTTCTCGTTATAAGTGTCTATAACCCTTTTTCCTTTATTTTTCCTCCTGTTATGGGTAAAGGACCTGTGTATTTACATGCATTTTCAAAGGTGGTACTTTATATCCATGATATAGTTATGTTCACTTGTGTGTCATCAATAAAGCTGTACATGCCATTCTCGCCTATGTATTACACATATACTTACTGATCATGAATGTTTTGTATAAGGTTTAATCCCAAATTCTTAAAGGTTTAAATCTACAGATTCAAAAAATACAACTCCTTATTTTTGTTCAGAATCTGAGGTGACAGAAATAACTCATTAGTACCCTGATGCAACATAATCCTCATCAAATAATACGACACTGTATCCCTAAAGAGTTAACTGAAACATATCAGAAACTTCTCTTCCATGGAAAGATTATTCATTCTCATTTATACTTGTTCTAAATCAATATGTTATTAAAACCCTAGGATTGATTTATTACCTGTAAAGGACTCACTACTCTGTTTCGATTATCCTCCCATGGAATTTTTTTTTTTTTTTTTTTTTTTTTTTATAAGCATTATTTTTGCAATATGCCCTAAGTTACATGGTGCCCAAAGCTCTCTGGATCATATTATGCACTTACCCCCCATGTAATAATAACGACAAAAGACAGTGTAACTTACCTTTTGTTCACTCCTGGCCTGATTGCAGATAGTTATGAATTTCCTGCAGTCAGAGAGGGATGGAGCCTTACTTGGTTTAATAGGAATCACATATATTTCTATGTCGTTTGTTGATGGTGTTGGCAAAGGAGATGCTTCACATGTAGTTACAGCAACACCTACACCTTCATTCCTGAAAGAGGTAAATAACATTAGAAAATAGTTGTGAAATATCTCCAAATCTTCAGAATATGGATTTATAAGCATTCTGGATCTTAATTTAACTGAACTAACAAAATTTGCTGTAAAGCTGAAACAAATTTAACAAATTTGTTAATGGTACTTGCAGATATGTTACAACCTAAAGTACTTTTCAAAAGAATAAACTATGCACTATCTTGCATTATTTTAATTGAATATTCAGATGAAGCCAATTATAGTTTCATGTAAATTCTTCTAAATCTTGCCTGAAATATTTTTTTCTGGTACCAGATAACTTAAGCATACATTTCTTTGATGTCTTGGTATTAAATTAATCAATTTACAAAGATTACCTGCTTTCCATACAATTTAAACCAATACAAACTTACCTGAGAAATTCTACATTTGCTTGAAATCGCGGCCATGCACCACCACACAATTCATTCTTGACTATCCACGAAAAATTCCATGGGGGTGATTCATCTGATCTGAATTCAGAAATTCTTCTGGTGAGTTGGCTGTTATTATTACTTAATTGTTCACTATACTTGCATACTGCTTGTTCCTGCTCCGATGTCTCTACGCTGTATGGACGGAATTCTCGTATGAACTGTATTGCAGCCAAGGGGTACATAAGATGTTTTTTGACCAGGTAACATGCCAACATAACACCAGTGCGCCCACAACCCCCTCTGCAGTGTACGCATACAGCCTGAAAACAGAGGAAAAACATTTCAAAATGATGTGTTATATTTCCATAACTTTATACATCCATTTTGTTAACATTAGGAGAATATGAAGAAAGTAATAGATGTCAAAGAAGTGAATGATGTAGAGAAAAAAAAAACTATATATATACATATATATATTCCTAGTGGATTTTGAAGCATGGAAGAAAAATCTTTCAACATGACAGACACACGAAATGTCTGTTCATCTATCTGAAAGTGGCCTTTAGTAGCCACTTAGTAAGAACTAAATAAAATTACTTAGAAAAAACAATCCCCTTACAAAAAAAGACAAAATTCACCTAACTTTTTTTGTAATTCCTTAAGCTATCTTGACATACTATATTAATAAGACTGATAATTCTAATAACTATATATGATATATTATCAGGAATATTTACATAACTATTGGATGTTTCAAATGTAATTTCATAGCAAATTGACATTTCCTGATTCATTTATGAAGCATAATGTAAAAGTCCTTAATTTTTCAAAGTTCAAGATAAAATCAAATTTGTATTTAATATTCGGGACATTTCAAGTACAGCATGTTCTGCTTTTATCTTTTTGTAGAAACCACAATTCTTGATTACTTTATTATTCAATCCTTAACCCATTGCTGCCGGGGAAAATGAACAAAAAATGGGGAAAATGCTGTGCTAATTTTTTTATATTTTTTGTGAAATGTCTCTACCCATAGATGGCTCTGTGATGTCCACTTTCCTTGAACTGGCAGGAAAATATATTTTTTACTAATGCTATCAATATCGATGGTGTTATTTTTATTATAAACATTATAATTACTATAATATTATAAACATTAGTAACAGCAAAATAAAATAACGTGAAATATTTTTGTAAATTTAAGAAAAGGATAAATGGGGTAAACAGGCGAGACAGGCAGTACTCGTAATTGGCTCATTGGTGATTTAGTATGTATAGCCATTGATGTGTTAAAACAATTAAACAAGTAAATTCACAGTGGGCATGGCATGGATGTATGTGACATGCCCATCGCAAAGGGTTAAGGTCATTACTTTAACCTTATAGAAACACATTTAATGTGTTACATAATTATACCATCTTCATTAAATACGAGCGTGAGTGCCTGTGGTTATGACTGTATGTGCGCACCTTTACCTTTTCCTTATCTTTTCTTTATCTTTTCTTCTTCATTCTTTTTTTTTTTTTTTATAAGCATTATTTTTGCAATATGCCCTAAGTTACATGGTGCCCAAAGCTCTCTGGATCATATTATGCACTTACCCCCCATGTAATAATAACGACAAAAGACAGTGTAACTTACCTTTTGTTCACTCCTGGCCTGATTGCAGATAGTTATGAATTTCCTGCAGTCAGAGAGGGATGGAGCCTTACTTGGTTTAATAGGAATCACATATATTTCTATGTCGTTTGTTGATGGTGTTGGCAAAGGAGATGCTTCACATGTAGTTACAGCAACACCTACACCTTCATTCCTGAAAGAGGTAAATAACATTAGAAAATAGTTGTGAAATATCTCCAAATCTTCAGAATATGGATTTATAAGCATTCTGGATCTTAATTTAACTGAACTAACAAAATTTGCTGTAAAGCTGAAACAAATTTAACAAATTTGTTAATGGTACTTGCAGATATGTTACAACCTAAAGTACTTTTCAAAAGAATAAAATATGCACTATCTTGCATTATTTTAATTGAATATTCAGATAACTATTGGATGTTTCAAATGTAATTTCATAGCAAATTGACATTTCCTGATTCATTTATGAAGCATAATGTAAAAGTCCAGAATTTTTCAAAGTTCAAGATGAAATCAAATTTGTATTTAATATTCAAGTA